CCCTTTTCTCCCCCATGCCCTCCCCCTCTCTCTTCTCTTCCTCACCCTTCTCCCTCTCCTCCTCCTCTTTCTCCTTCTCCTTCTTCTCTCTCTATCCTCTCTCTCCCTCTCTCTCCCATGCTGGGATTGCATCCTGGTCCTCTCACATGCTAAGCACATGCTCTGCTCCAGCACGCTCCCAGCCCTTTTCCTTACTTCTGTTAAATGTCTACACCTGGATAAGCTCAAGTTTCTTGGTTGTTAAATGGGTCTGGGCTTGCTGCCCTCTAGAGGAGAGGCCAGCTAATACAATTCACTATTCTAGATTTATCTGGTCACCCACTTTTCAATTCCCAGGAGAAAAGTGTGCTATCTGTATTGTGCTGAAGACAATGTGTTACTCATAGTCAACTACGGTGTTTCAACACATTGCATGCAAAACTAGGATTGTAGTGCACACAGTATTCTGCAACCTGCTCTTTTCATTTAGCAAGGAATTACGGCCCTTTCTCCTAAAATGGCTATAGTGCCTCATTGAAGGGCACCGATGGATGCTTAGGTTATTTTGTGTTTTTTCGCTACTCTGGACAAGGCTGCAGGAAATGTCCTTGTCCCCACATTTTTACTCACCTCTGGGAGCATCTCTCTGTCCTGAGAGTATCTCTCTGTCCTGAGAGTAGACGTGTAATATCAGAGAGTCGTGCATCCATTTGGAGTCAGCACGGCTGCATCAAAGAACCAAGAGAAATCCCAAGTACTGCTGTCAGACCTGAGGGTTTCTCTGGACCAGGGCCAAGGCCATAGTGTTTGAGGCTCAATTCACCTCATTAGGCTTCTGTGTCCCCTTGGTACACAGTCATTTCACAGCCCACCTTTGTTGTCCACCTTGCCTTCAGCCAGGGACACTTCCAGATCCAGGGTTTAGGTTTCCTTCTCCCCACCCTGCAAGATGAAGCCCAGGAAAACTTCTTTCCCAGTTCCATGATGGATGATCCCAGTGCCTTCAAGGACATCTGTCAGACTAGGAGTGGCCTCTCCAGTCCTTGCTCTGTTGCCCAGACTGGACTCAAATTCATAATCCTCCTTCATCAGTCTGGGATTACAGGTATGTGCCACTGTGCTCAGTTAAGGATTGACCTTTTTTTTTTTTTTTTTTGGTAGGGGACTGGGGTTTGAACTCAGGGCTTTGCACTTGACTTGCAAAGCAGGCACTCTACCACTTGAGTCATACCTCCAGTCCATTTTGCTCTGGTTATTTTGGAGATGGTGTCTCATGCACTATTTGCCTGAACTGGTCTCTGTGATCTTCCCCATCTCAGACTCCTAAGTAGCTAGGATTACAGGTGTGAGCCACCAGCACCTGGTAGAATTGGCCTTTTAATACTTCTAAAAACCCACCACATAGGTGCCATTATTAATTCCATTCTACAAATGAGGAAAGAAAGGCACAGAAAAGGTAAATAACTTGGTTACGAGCACACAGCTAACAAGGGGTAGAACCAAACTGCAGACCCTGACAGCTGGGCTCCTCGGCCTACTCATTTTACCACTAACTGAATCAATGGTTTTATCTAGTGGGGACAAATACTGACGTAAAAAAGATATTTTCAGTTAGTGATAATTGAATACTGTGAAGAAAGTATGATAAAGTCAGGGTTTGGGCTTGAAAGATAATTTTTGGTATTGTTTTATTTTATTTTTGCAGTACTGGCGTTTGAACTCAGGGCCTACACCTTTGAGCCGCTCCACCAGCCCTTTTTTGTGAAGGTTTTTTTTTCCAGGTAGAGTCTCAAAAACTATTTGCTGGGGCTGGCTTCGAACCACGATCCTCCTGATCTTTGCCTCCTGAGTAGCTAGGATTACGGGTAGGAGCCACCAGCACCCCGCTAGTTTTTGTTTGTTTTGTTTTTTGAGACAAAGTCTCACTATGTAGTCCAGGCTGACCTCAAAAAAAACCTCATGATCCTCCTGCCTTAGCCTCTTGACTTAGCCACTTTTGGGCTATCGTTAATAATGCTGCTATGCACATGGATGTACAAATATCTGTTGGAGTCCCTGTTTCTGTTCTTTATGCCCCAAAGTGTAACCGCTACATCATATGGTAACTCTAGTTCTCATTTTTTGAGGCTCACCAGTGTGAGTTGACACACTCGGCTTATGAACTGTATTTTGGATAGTAATGTGCACTGCTTGCTGAAAAGTCACCCTCCTCCCATCGCACAGAGCTTACAGAAGGCACAGGCAGCTATCTGTGTCCTCTGCACTGGGTCTGGTCCAAAGCAGGCACTACTACCTGCTCGGGAAGGAAGTGGGGAGGCAGGAGGAACCTGCCAGGTGCCTCTGCACACACACAGCAGAACTTTGTCAGTGTTTGCCCAGCTGTGCTAACTTCCAGTGAGCCCTGGAACTGGGTCAGTGGACCGTGGGGAGGAGGTGGACCTTGACCACTCACCAGTAGCGTGACCTTGAGCAAGTCACCCTTAGAACTTCAGCTTCCTTCTTTGCAGAATGAAGAAATAACAGAACGACACGCACCTGGCTCTGAGCTAAGCCCTCGGGATGTGTGTGACCCAGGGCTTCCACTAGTCACCAGGGAGGCCTGGTGGCAGAGGTCAAGGAATGAAGCCCCTGCTTCTATGGGGTGGTTTTAGCTGTCACAATAATAGGGGGGGAGGAGCAGGAGGGAAAGGGTCACGTTAGAGGAATTATTTTGCTACCTCTGTGACAAAGTCTGCCACATCACAACAGCATCATATTTCCTTCTTTTATTTTTCTTCTTTTTTATTTGGAGGCAGGGTCTGCTATGTTGCCCAGGTTGCTCTGGAACTCTGGGTACTCCTGCCTCTGCAAGTGCTGGGATTACAGATGTGCATCACCACACCTGTCCAGCAGCTTTGTTTAAATTAGTTTTTTCTCTTTCTCTTATTTGGTCCATTACTATCCCAACTCTGCCTCAATTCAAGTGGGCTTCTGTGTTCACTATTATTTCCTGGATGTAAAAAAACTCACAGATCACTGGAATCTGGAAGACCAGAAGTCTGGTTCAGGCATGGGGGGAGAACAGGGAGCACACCTTCTTGTCAAATTGAGGGTAACCCCCACCCACTTAAGGGCTTGGGGGAAGGACAGGATTTAGGGGGAAGGACATGGAGATGGAACAGTAGTGAAGAGGCTCCCAGCAAAGTGGCCGTGAGAGTAGAGAGTTAAGGTCTGACTGGGCTGAGAAAGTTCTGTTTCACCAGAAACCCGTTTTGTTTTGCTTTGTTTTGAATGTGGTATGTTTTGTCTGCCTGCCTCCTTACTCAGAGACAACCGGGCAGATAAAATCGCAGAGGGCACCCTGTCTGGGCCAGTGTGACTCATACAGTTCAGATCCTCCTGGCAAGGGCAAAACATTCCATTTTCACATGTCTTTTTTTTTTGTTTTGTTTTGGCAATACTGGGGCTTGAACTCAGGGCTTCAAACTTACTAGGCAGGCACTCTACAGTGCCACTCCACCAATCTTCACCTCCTGAGTAGCTGGGATTTCAGGTGTGAAGCACCTCACCTGACTTTCTCTCTCTCTTTTTCTTCCTCCCTCCCTTCCTTCTTTTTCTTCTTTCTTTCTGGCTTTTATTTTTGTTTTTGAGATAGGGTCTTGATAATTTTTTTTTTTTGCCCAGGTTGGCCTTGAATTCTGATCCTCCTGCCTCTGCCTGCTGAGTAGCTGAGATTATAGGCATGTACTACTAAGCCAGGCTCAGGTTTCCTATTTAAATTAAAAATTAATATTAATTCCTGTCAGTTCACATGTAAGGCTGGACATAATGGTATACACCTGTAGTCCCAGGTACTAGAGAGGCTGAGGCAAGAGGATCACTTGAGCCCAGAGGTCCAAGGCTAGCCTGGGAAACATAGAAAGACCCAGTCTCTAAAAAAAAAAAAAAAAAAAGCTCATACTTATTTCATTCTTTTTTTTTTTTTTCGGTGCTAGAGTTTAAACTTAGGGCCTACACCTTGAGTTACTCCACCAACCATATTTTCTGTGATTTTTTTTGAGGTAGGGTCTCTCAAACTATTTGCAGGTGCTTTACCACTTGAGCCACTCCACCAGCCCTTTTTTGTGTTGTGTTTTTTCTGAGATAGGGTCTCACAAACTCTTTGCCCTGGCTGGCTTCAAACAGTGATCCTCCTATCTCTGCCTCTTGATTAGCTAGGATTACAGGCATGAGCCACTGACACCTGGATTAATTCATTCTTAAATTCGTACCAATCCTTTTAAATAGGTACAACTATCTGCTTACTTCTTTATGTCTTCTACCTCAGTAAGTTATTTTATTTTTAAATTAACCTTGTTTCTGTCTTCTTTATGTTACAGTGAGGGCATTATATGGAAATTTCTAGAAACCGTGACTGGACCTTACCTGTGCCAGGGCCTTTCCATGTGCTATCTCATTGGACCCTCTCACCAACTCTAGGAGGTAGATGGAAGTATTTTCATTTTTATCTTACAGAGGAAGAGGCTGAAGCACAGAGAGGTACAGTGACATTTTCATGACCACACAGGAAACAGGCCATCTGGCTCCAGAGTCTTCATTCTTCACCCCCTCTCAGATGAGGGAGATTCCCTAGGGGCTCCATGCCAGGATACTAAGGGGCCTTTCCATGAAAGGCGGGGAGGGCATTGGGTCTGTTAGAGTGGGAACCACTGACCTGGCACTAAGTGTGCCTATGTCCCTTCCTCATTCCTCCTTCATTCCTTCTGCCACCAAACACGTCCTGAGTCTAAAGCAGGCTGGAGTTCAGAGTGAGGGCAGATATGTGGCTGTGACCCAGGCCCAGAAGGGGCATGTGCCAGAGGGTGGAGGGAGGACAGGAAGGAGTGGCCAGTCTGAGGCCCTCTGGTACCCGCTGGCCAAGTTCCCAAGGACTGTTTGTGCCCAGACCCTGCCCATTCCTCCTCCCCCCAGAGGCGGGAGTCTGTGGAAAAACACCCGCTGGGTGAGTCCTGGTGGGGGAGGAGGCTGGGGTGCAGGAACCCAGCTTCTCTCCCTGCTCATGGGTTGGGTTCTGGAATTGCATCAGACTGGGCCTGCAGGGAGGGAGCCAGCGGAGACATCCCTTATAAGTAGGGACCAGGGAACTAGGAGAGAAGAGGAAGCCAGACCTGGACAAGGAAAGACAGGAAAGACAGAGATTCAGGCACACCCAGGCACCATGGCCACCTTGCCATCAGCAGCCAGCCCCTCCTGGCAGCCCCTGGGCCCTGAGGACGAAGACGCCAGCCTGGATCAGTACGATCTCTACAGCCTGGCCCATCCCTACATAGGTAAGGGTGCTCTACCACCTGCCTGGCCCCTACCCAGGACCCCTCCCTGGACTCCCCCACCCCTTACCTTCTGGCCAACCTGTCCCCTCGGACCCTGTCACCCCATCTAATCCCTGACCCATGAAGCACTGTCTCTCTTAGCTCTGGAGCCTCATATGTCTGGGGTTCCCCATTTCACATCTGGAAAACAACTATCCAGGGTTTCGAGTGTCCCAAAGTGACATAGTGACTCCTCCTCTCTCTCTGCCCTCCCCACCCTGCACCACAGGCCACTGGTCTTTCCTCTGAGGCCTCTTTCCACCCTCACCTCCCCTCTCTCTCCTGTCCTGGTCACCAGTGGGTGGAGGCCGTAAAGGTCGCACAAAGAGAGAAGCAGCAGCCAACACCAACCGCCCCAGCCCTGGCGGGCATGAGAGGAAGCTGGTGACCAAGTTCCAGAACTCAGAGAGGAAAAAGGCCCGGCGCTGAGTTGGAGCTGGAGGTAATGAGGCAGGCACCCCAGAGCCAATGGAGGGGCCTTTGCCGGGAGGGGTCTGAGGCTGGGTGCAGAGGGGTAGCAGAGATCTGTCATCTCCTAGAATAAAGTGAGACACACGTTTGACTCTGAGTGCCCCAGGGAACAGAGCAAAGGGGGAACAGAACCTTTCCAGCTGGGGGAAAATTTGGTTTACAGAGAGGAAAATAGAGGCCAGAGAGCGTAGGGTACTTCCTGTAGGTAGAGAGAAAGTGAGTAGGAGAGGCAGAATTAGAACCCAGCTCTCCAGCCTTTCACTACCTGCTTCCTTCCACCACAGACAAGGTCAGACCATGGACACTGAATCTGCAACGGAACCAGGACCGTGAAGGAACTAGGACTGGGGGGCTTGGCCCCTACCCTACCCCCAAGACAACCCCCACCTGAGTGAGGCTTCAGGGGCCACCCATGAAGCACCTGCAGGCCCAGCAAAAGGGCCAGATAGGAGCAGAAGGCAGAGAATGGACACAAAGTGAAGAAGGCACCCCAAAATGAAACAGTAAAGAAACCAGATTCCCCCAGGGTGGCAGGGACAATAAATGGTACCACGGCTACAGCTTGCGTGTGTGTGTGTTTTGTCCTGGCTCTGTGTGTTTTTGTTTGGCAGGTTTCTGCCCTCACGTGTTGACATTTGCGGGAGCCAACAGGAAGTTGGTGTGCATTTGATACTCGGCGTGTGGGTCTGGGGCAGGAGTCTTCGTGTCCTTGTCCTGTCTCGGCTGTGAGCCCATGATCTCTTACAGGGTGTAAAAAAATGTCCTCTACAGCCTGTCCCAGCTACCAGCCATTCTTGGGTTCCCATAAAACTGCCTTTTGAAGGGAATAGTATTTATTTACTTATTTATTTTGTGGTCCTGGGGTTTGAACTCAGAGTAGGTAGGCTCTTTACCACTTGACTCATGCCTCCAGGCCAAAGGTTACTTATAATTTATTTTTATTTTATTTTATTTTTTGAGGTACTGGGGTTTGAACTCAGGACCCACACCTTGAGTCCACTCTACTAATCCTTTTTTGTGATCGCTTTTTTTTTTTTGAGATAGGGTCTCACCAACTATTTGCCTGGGCTGATTCGAATCATGATCCTCCTGATCTCTGCCTCCTGAGTAGCTAGGATTACAGGTGTGAGCCACTGCACCCGGCCACACCTATTCATTTTAAGGGTATGATCTAAAAATAAAATGCATAGAGTCTGCTCTGAATTTAGTTCAAAGTCACACCCAACTACAAGAACAGCTGGGAAATGTATTTAGTGACCAGCCACAGGGCAGCGTAGGTGTGGGTGATGGCACAGTTTTACTATGAAAGGAAGCAAAAGAGAATGAATACTGGAAGACATGAGCAAGGGACGTGCCCATACAGAGGCCCAATTGGAAGGGAGGAGAAAGCCCCAGCTCCAGCCTGTCCCTTCTGCAGAAGCCCCACATGCAGAATTTGGGGCCCATTGCTCTTAGCTATGGACAGAGGCTGGGGTCCTCTTTGAGCAGTAACAGACCACAGCAGGCTGTGACCAGTTGGAACCCTTCAGGACCATCTCCATCCTCCCGAGCCCAGCCTGATAACAGTCCCAGGGAAGGATGTTAAAAGCCTTCTGGCACCACCCACCCCCGCTCAGAACTGGGATAGCCCTGCTTGAGAATGCTACCAGGTACTCAGGAGGTGGAGATCCAGAGGATGGAGGTTTGAGGCTAGCCTGGGCAAAAAGTTAGCGAACCCCTTCTCAATTAATAAGCCAGGTGTGGCTGTACATGACTGACATCCCAACTATTCCAAAGGCCGTGGGTAGGAGGAGCTTGGTCTGAGGCTCTAGTGGATGAATAACTAAAGCAAAAGGGAGCTGGCGGTGTGGCTTAAGTGGTAGAGCTCTTGCCTAGCAAGCATGCAGCTCTGAGTTCAAACCCCAGTACCTCTAAAAAAAAAAAGAGAGAGAGAGATAGAATGCCACTAGGATGGTGAGCTGGCTTTCTTTGAAGGGTGCCTAATGGCAACATCTCTGTGTGGACTGAAACCTGACTCTTTTTTTTTTTTGTGGAAGGGGCACAGTACTGGGGTTTGAACTCAGGGTCTCACACTTGGGCCTCATACTTGCTAAACAGGCACTCTACCATTTGAACCATTCTGCCAGCCCCTGAAAGCTGACCTTTTTTTTTTTTTTTCCTTTTGCAGTACTGGTACTTGAACTCACGGCCTACACCTTGAGCCATTCCACCAGCGCTTTTTTGTGATGGGTGTTTTTGAGATAGGGCCTCACGAACTATTTGCCCTGGCTGGTTTCGAACTGCTATCCTCCTGATCTCTGCCTCCTGAGTAGCTAGGATTATAGGCCTGAGCCACTGGCGCCTGGCTGAAAGCTAACCCTTGACACCTGCTCAGAAGCAAACTTCTGTTTTCTCATCCTTTCTGTCTGAGATGCCTTTGATCCCACCCCTCTCACAAGCCTGAGCTCAAATGCTTCTTTCTCTTCAAAGTCTTTCCTGACCTCCAGCCCAAGAGGCCCCTCTGGGATCGCGGGGTGAACTTGGGCCCCAAGTCCCACAGTTGCAGTGGAGCCACTGTGTCCATGCAGATTATTCACTCATGCAACATTTGCTGGACAACCACTGTCTTACCTGGAGGGTAAGACAAGGAGGGACCAGGGGGCCACGGACAGCTCTAGAACCCCAAGCTCAAATAGCAGCAGTACACCTGGGCCCTGTGCTCTCAGCCTGGCCCCTGGGTGTCAGCTTTAGGAAACTTTAGTAACAGCTCCCATGTTTTGGGATCCTGCTTTGTGACAGGTTTGTTTGTTTTTCTGTACTGGGGTTTGAAGTCAGGGCCTCATGCTTGCTAGGCAGGTTCTCTACCCCTTGAGCCACTCCTTCAACCCTTTTTAGTGATGGGTTTTTTCGATATAGGGTTTCATGAACTATATCTCTGGGCTGGTTTCAAACCTTGATCCTCCTGATCTCTGCCTCCTGAGTAGCTAGGATTACAGGTGTGAGCCGCTGGTGCCTGGCTGCAACAGGGTTTTTGTTTGTTTGTTTTGTGGTGCTGGGGATATTGAACTCAGGGCTCATGTATGTTGAGAAGGCTGTCTACCACTGAATTCCACCCCAGTCCTGTGACAGCTGTTTTATAGGTTTTGCTCCATTTAATCCTCACACTAACCCAATAGGACATATTGTTATCAATCTTTTTTTTTTTTTTCAGACCAGAGGTTCAGAGAAGTTGACTAATTTGACCAAAGTCACACAGCCTCAACCTGTAGGACATGGGACTATGAACTCAGGTTTGCCTCTTTCAAAGTCTGGGATTTTTCCTTCTTACTACATGACTAAGAAGAACCACAGGGAAGGTTGGGAAGCACTGTATCCCTTAATGTGGTGGCCACTTCTGGTGTACTGGGTCCATGGTGGGTGGCCATGAGAGGTAGAAAATCATTGTAATTAAATTTCCCCACTCCACAAGTGACCAGTCTCTTTTAAGATCAGAGTAGCCCACCGAGGCCATCAAACATCACAGGATGCTTTGAAGTCAGACACTCACTTAAAGCTTAATCCTTTCTTTACTCAAGAGCAAGCCACACTCTAAACATCAGCTGAGCCTGGGGCTGGGAGTTTTACACAGGTAACTCTTTAACTTAATAAGACAAAGATGCCAGTGCCCAGTTGCATAGTTCACGCCTATAATCCTAGCTACTTGGGAGGCTGAGATCGAAAGGATCATGGTTCAAGGCCAGCCCAGCTAAATAGCTCTCAAGACCCCATCTCCAAAACAACCAGAGCGAAAGTGGAGGTGTGGCTCAAGCTATAGAATGCCGAATTGTAAGCACAAAGCCCTGAGTTCAAATTCCAGTCACACACACAAAGAGACAAAGACCAGGCCCAGGACCCCTTCTAGGGTCCGATTGGACCTGGAGCTGAGAATTCCTCAACAAATACTCCAACTGCAAATGCTGACCCCATCGTTCTCACTCTAGAGTCAACCTGCTTTCAGTCTATAGAAGGTGTATGTCTTTCCTAGCAAATCTGAGTATCAGTTTCCTATCTTACCTGAATTCTCTTGCCAGAGGCAAGAACCGAGGTACACCCCAGCACTAAGTTTTCCAGGAACTCTGCCCCTTGCTAGGAGGCCCCACATGCCACCGCTCCCTCTAGGCCTCTGGTTGGCCTCCCAGCCTCTCCCCTACTGCACAGCCTCATGGAGGAGGCCTTTCCTGGCTACTCCAGCAACTGCTATAGCAGTTCTTGGAAACCCAGAACAGTAGGGTCAGGAAGGACCCTGTCCAGAATCCCCCTCTTCTGCCTCCACCCCCTCTTTCCTACCCCCTTTCTTTTTCTCCTCTTGGTTGCATGGAGTATCCGTTTCCCCAATTTTGGGGGTTCCTCCTGAGAACAGGAGAAATCACTGAGCTCAGTTTCCTCAGGGGCTGACAGAAACTTCCCTGTGAGGTTTCCATTAACTCAAAGGCGTCCAGCCCCTTGCAGAGAACAGAGAAACCCACTATTCCGAAAACAACCTGTTTTTCCTCCACCCACCCATTTCCCAAAAGCCAGCTGTCAGATACATATAGATGCGTTTAGATTTCAGAATGACCTAAAGTTAATTTTTAACCAGCACTCCTTAAAAATAATACCAATTATAGTCATAGTCATAGCTAGCACTATTGATGATGGTCTCAGGGTTTTCCCAAGTTCATGTTCCCGAAGCACTTAGTGATTTCTTCTGTATGAGCACTCAAGGTATTGACTTAGCATTGAAAAATTACTCCTTATCTTTTTTACTCATATGTATCTAAAAGGAAACTGTAGAATGGCCCTAAATGGAAAACCACAGTCAGGTGTCAGGAATTAACTCTGAAAAGAAACACCTAACTGTAACTTCCTTTAAAAGCTCATCTGTGCATTACCTATGATGACCTCATGTGCCAAGAGGCACAAGTGTACATGTTTGGGTAAATGTGATATAGATATTGTGATATAGCAAGAAGTATGTATTAGAGGTTTGTCCAAATATAGAAGGTCTCCAACTTACAATGGTTTATTTTTTAATCTCCTTACAGTAATAGTGTGAAAGTTATTTTATTCAGTGGAAATTGTACTTCCAACTTTTTCTTTTTGCAGTACTGGGGTTTGAACTCAGGGCCTTCACCTTGAGCCACTCCACCAGCCCATTTTTGTGATGGGTATCCTCAAGATAGGGTCTCATGAACTATTTGCCTGGACTGGCTTTGAACCGAGATCCTCTTGATTTCTGCCTCCTGAGTAGCTAGGATTACAGGCGTGAGGCACCAGTGCCTGACCCAACTTTGCTGTTGCTTTTAATTTTTTTTTGGAAGTACTGGATTGTGAACTCAGGGCCTCATACTTGCTAGACAGGCGCTCTTACTGCTTGAGCCACTCTGCCAGCCCTAAATGTTTTATTAGTGTATATTAATTGTACAGAGGGGTCTAGAGAATACGGAAATACTTTTGTGATATTTCCATGTGTGTACATAATGTACTTTG